GCCGCTTGTGCTGCGGCTTCCGCGTGTAGTCGAGCAGGTTGAGTAGTTCTCCTCCGAGTGCGCCGGCGTCCTGGAGCGCCTGCTCTGCCTGCGCAATGGTCCGGAGGGTGCGCGGGCAGCGGGCGCGAAGCTCTTTCAGGGTGTTGACCCCTAGGCAGGTGGCCACGTCGTGCAGGCAGAGGGCCCAGCTAGGGGCGTAAGCGGCCAGGGCGGTCTGAGCGGCGGAAGGGAAAGCGCACCCTCCGTCGGAAAGGCGCAGCGTGGCCCGCAGGCGCCGCACGTCGTCCAGGGGCTCCGCAAGGAGGGCTTCGAGGGCGGCGAACAGCACGTCGTGGAGCTCCCGCACCCAGCCTGTCTGCAAGTTCGCCCAGAGGTGGTGCGTGACGCATCCCCGCCCGCAAGTGCACAGGAACGTATGCGTGGCCTCGGCTGAGCAGCCGGCCGCTCTCAGTTCCCGCAGCCGCGCGGCGAAGGCCCGCGCGCGACCCACTGCAGCGGCGCCGTCGGCTCCTGCGTGCACCAGGGCCCTGTCCTCTTGTTGGTCCATCCAAGGAGCGGCGTTGCCGAGGCAGAGCAGGCTGTCAGCCCGGAGGGCAGCGAGTCCGGCCGGCAGCGGGGCCCCGCGGTCGGTTGCCCAGGCTTGTGTCTTGCCGAGGTTGACCGAAAGGCCGAGGCAAGCGAACTCCTCGGGAACGAGTTGCGCCGCCGCGGTGGCGTGTGCTGGCGGCGCGTACACCATGATGTCGTCCAAATAGGAGAACACCTTGCATTCTGGGGACAGCCGTTGGAGCCTTCTGTCGGTCTCGTTCGAAGCACCTGCCACGGCAATCGCGAACAATGCCAGGGACAGCGGGCACCCTTGGTCGACCCTGGTGGTTGCCAGGATGGGTTCGGCGCAGTCGCTGCCGCCCCAGAACAAATGCGTCGTCCCCCCTCCTATCCAGCAGCGCGCCGTTCTGAATAAAGCTGGTGCCTGGGCGCGGAGGCTGCTCAGGATGTGGTGTCGGGGCAGGCTGTTGAAAGCGTTGCTGCAGTCGAAGGCGATGAGCACGCCCTGGGTGGTCGCATCCGTGAGCGCCGAGATGCAACTGTGCATGACTTTGCAGCCTCCTGGTTTTCCCACAGCGTGCTGGTGTGGCCCGCAGCGACCTTGATATCTTCTTGGAACACATCGCACTCCGCCTTGCCTGCGAGGCGGCGCAGCACGCTCCCGCATGCGATAGGCCGGAGGCCCACGCTGCGCTTGCGGAAAGCCATCAAGCGGGACCAAGCGCGTGCTCAGGTTGGTTCGCGTGGCTTCTGGGCTGGGGAGAGCATCCCGCAGATGAAGAGGACCGTCACCTTGGCGACTGCGTCCAGGGCTGCAGAGTCTTCCAGGAGGGTGCGCCAGTGTTCAAACCGGCCACCGTTGGGCCCTGGCCCTGACTGCCGCGGGCTCCGGCCGAGGTGGCGCTTGACGGCCGCGGCCAAGTCGCTGCGGGTGTCCTATTCTGGGCGCTCGGGGTCGGTAGCGCCGGGGGCTGCCCCCCTCCAGAACCTCTTCCCAGAACCTCTTCCCCCGGGGGAAGAGGTTCTGGAGGCCCGCCTGCAATCCCACCCCCGTGGCCATTGTGGCCGGCCGGAAGCCGCGGGTCATGGCCTTGTTGCTGACCAGGCCCTCGCCGACCAGTGCCTCGACCGCCTTTGCGTCTTTCTCGGGGGGGTCGGCGCGCCGAGGTCGCCGCGGCGCTGCCCCGGCCGCTGCGTGCGCTTCCCTCCAGAGTGCAGCCCAGTCGCGCGGCCCCGGCCTCCGCGAGGCGCAGGCGTCGTGTGAAGATGGCTGCGCGGCCCCCGCTGTTCATCCCTGCCTTGCGCCCACCTCTGGTCCTGCCGGGCTTGAAGGTGAAGAAGAGGACCCCGTCAAAGAAGGTGACGAACTTCCCTGTGCGTCGGAGCGTAGTCACGTCCTCGCTGTCGGTGGCCTGGAGGAGGCGTTCCGCCACCTGGCCCTGGAGCTGCGCAAGGGCAGCCCCCACCGTGTCCGGGACGTGGAGTTCAGTCGCCACGTGGTGCCGGAAGTCATCGTAGTCCACGGTGTTTCACCAAGCCAGGTTTTGGGGGAACTCCCCATCCTCCGCGGGATCCTCTGGCAGGTTGGCTGGGCCCCCGTCGTCTGCGTCGAGCAAAGGGACGCCAAGGGCGGCTGCTTGCCGGTGATGTTCGGGGTCTGCCTTGGCCCGTTTGGCCTGGCGTGTGTTTTCCACGTATTCCGCTTTCGTGGTCCTGCCAGGCTGATCACAGCACTCGCGGATGGTATCCGCCTGCTCCGCCGCGAGGAGGCCAGCGCCCCCAAGTCGGTCGAAGAGCCCCTCGACGCAGCGCGGGTGGTAGTACAGCTTGTTCGCCTGGTCGGGGTTGAACACCCGCAGATCGCCCGATCTCCGCAGCCAGCCGCCTGGCAGAGGCAAGCCCGCTTCGAGCGCAAGGCGTCCACGGCCCACTTGGTGACCAGGGCGTCCCGTCCAGATGGCGGTCTGGATCGAGGGTGCGGGGTGCGGGTCCGGCGGCGGCGGCGGCGGCGGCCCCCCTCCGGCCTCGTCGCCGGGGAAGGTTGGCCATTGACGCGCGGCCGCGAGCAGCAGGCCAGCGAGTGGGCTGCCGAGGGCTCCGCTTCCCGCCGCGACCACGCCTGCGCTGCACATTCGGCACATCCAGGGGCGAACGTGCACGTCTCCAGCTATGACCCCCAAGGCGGCGAGGCCGACGATCGCGCGCCACCCTCCGAGCAGAGCCGGCCGCGACGCCATCCATGGCACAGGGTTCCCGGAGACCATCTGCATTGCGGGGGCCTGGCTGCCGAGGGCGCCGTGCAGTATGCAGCCCGCGCAGGCTGGGAGCCACACCTCTGGGCCCATGGCGGGACGGATACCTCGGAGCGACAGCTCGCAGGACACCCGAGTAAGGAGGTACGCCGCGTCCAGGAGTGCGTCAGTGCACGGCCCCGTCGGTGGAGGAAACGGGTCCAGCGTGTCTGGGGCAGGCGGGCCTGTGCCGGGTTGGCCCGATTGGGCTCCAGACGCCACGGCAGCGCACGACCGCACATGCCGCAGGCAGAATACCTCGGCGCTGCAAGTGCGGTGGCCCTGCGGAGTTGTCTCCAGGGCGCGCGGAGCCCAAAGTCTGTCCCCCCACCTCCCCTCCTCCCCTTCTCCTCCCCTCCTCCCCCTCCTCCTCCCCTCCTCCTTCCCTCCCCCCTCCATCCCATCGTCTCATGGATAGCTCCTCCCTGTCGCGCCCCCAGGCGTGTCGGAAGGGCGGGAACGGGCATTTCGCCTGGGACACCTTCGCCATCTATGATCCTGAAGCTTCAGGATCGAGGGGGGGGGTCGTATTCAAGATGGGGTTTTCGCCTTAGGACCGCGCCCGTTCGCCTCAACACTGTGCAGCAGTTACGTGGATGGCCGTGGGGGTCAGAATAGGGTTCCCGCCTGAGCGACAGGCACATTCGTTTTGACGTTTGCAATCGCTTCAAGGATGGAGGGCGGGTCGTTTTCAAAAAGGGGCTCTCGCCTTAGCGCCGCGCACAGTCGTCTTACACAGGCACACTTACAACAGTGGAGTTTTCACAGTGGGGTCGGCTCCTTCTCACAATGGGGTTTTCGCATGACGCTGGTTCTACTCTGAAGACCAGAGACGTGAACAGAGGCAGCAGATGCACGGCCGAAGGACGATGCCTTTCCAAAGCTTGGGCGTTCGCTTGCGACTTCTCCAAATTGGGAGGCCAGAAACTCGAACAGACGGTACACCTGCTCTCGCTTGAGACTTCTTCGGCACGCATGGCCAGGAGCGATCACTGATGCAGTACGTCAACAGAGATGGGTGGTCTTCTTTTTCTCTCAAAGCGGAGCTAGTTCTGGACACCGCGCTGATTTGTTTGATCATGCCTCTGCGCATGCATTGCATTTCGCTGCGAGGATGCAAGCACAGTAGTTCCATTCCAAACGTGGCTTTCACCTGAATGGCAAGCCCATATGGCGCTGGTCTGACAAAAGGGGCCATCGTCGCAGTATAAAGGACAATATGTAGGTACGCATGAGGAGGGGACGTGGGACGGGAGGGCGCATTGCAGCATCGCTGATGCATCTTTGGCTTGCTTGGGTCCTCCTCCTCCTCCTCCTCCTCCTCCTCCTCTTCCTCCTCCTCCTCCTCCTCCCCCTCCTCCTCCACCTCCTCTTCCTCCTCCTGCTCCACCTCCTCCTCCTCCTCCTTCCCCCTCTTCACTTTCTCCTCCGTGACTCCACCCATCAGTCGTCTGTGCTGCGAGGTGTCCTCCACTGTCAGGTTTGCTGGGTTTGTTGTACTGCGCAGCCTCCCCGTATATTGAAAGGACAGTGCGGGAACCCGTCTCGAGGGACGTGCCCCTCTGAGGTGGAGAAGGAGGTTTTGTCTCGGTTCCTGAGGGGTTCGCCTCCAAAGCCAGGCACCAACATCCCCCGATCTGAACCATTTTGTGTGTGCTTGAGGCGGCGTGCTTCGAGTAGGACCCCCGCGCAGGGTATATAATCAGAAGTCCCCATGCTCCTCCCCCTCCACATAACCCCCTCCCGCCACCCTGTGGAACGGGATGGTGTACTTCGAGTGCTGCAGTATCGTTGGTGCATCTTCGGTTTGCTGTGGTCCTCCTCCTCCTCCTCCTCCTCCTCCTCCTCCTTCTCCTCCTCCTCCCTCCTCCTCCTCCCCCTCCTCCTCCTCTTCTTCCCCTTCCTTCTCCTCATCCTCCTCCTCCGCCTCCGCCTCCCTCCTCCTCCTCCTCCTCCTCCTCCTCCTCCTCCTCCTCCTCCTCCTCCTCCTCCTCCTCCTCCTCCTCCTCCTCCTCTCTCTCCTCCTCCTCCTCCTCCTCCTTCCTCCTCCTCCTCCTCCTCCTCCTCCTCCTCCTCCTCCTCCTCCTCCCCTCCTCCTCCCCCTTCCCCCTCCCCCCCCCTCCCCCTCCCCACCCTCCGTCCATCTCGTTACCCCGCGAGGCCGCTGCTCCGGCGTTGCCCGCCAGCGCCGCCTTCGCCGCGGGGCGCGGGGAGCCCCGCCCTGCCGCGTTGCGGCGTGCCGCCGCAGCTGCTCCAGGACCGCTCCCCTGCGAGGCCGCCCCTCCTCCTCCTCCTCCTCCTCCTCCTCTCCTCCTCCTCCTCCTCCTCCTCCTACTCCTCCTCCTCCTCCTCCTCCTCCTCCTCCTCCCTCCTCCTCCTCCTCCCCTCCTCCTCCGCCTCCTCCTCCTCCTTCTCCCTCCCTCCTCCTCCCCCGCTCCTCCTCCTCCTCCTCCTCCTCCCCTCCTCCTCAACTCCTCCTCCTCCTCCTCCTCCTCCTCCTCCTCCGCCTCCGCCTCCCTCCTCCTCTCCTCCTCCTCCTCCTCCTCCTCCTCCTCCTCCTCCTCCTCCGCCTCCCCGCCTCCGCCTCCCCCCTCCTCCTCCTCCTCCTCCTACTCCTCCTCCTCCTCCTCCTCCTCCTCCTCCTCCTCCTCCTCCTCCTCCTACCTCCTCCTCCTCCTCCTCCTTCCTCCTCCCTCCTCCCTCCCTCCTCCTCCTCCTCCTCCTCCTCCTCCTCCTCCTCCTCCTCCTAATCCTCCTCCTCCTCCTCCTCCTCCTCCTCTCCTCCTCCTCCTCCTCCTCCTCCTCCTCCTTCCTCCTCCTCCTCCTCCTCCTCCTCCTCCTCCTCCTCCTCTCTCCTTCCTTCCTCCTTCCTCCTTCCTCCTCCCCTCCTCCTCCTTCTTTCCTCCTCTCTCTCTCCTCCTCCTCCTCCTCCTCATCCTCCTCCGCCTTCTCTGCCTCCATTCCTTTTCCTTATAAATGACTTCTCCCTGTCGCACCTCGAGGCCAGTTTTTAGGGCGGGGCGGTCCGGTCGTTTGGCCTGAGACTTCCTCACCATTTATGACCCTGAAGCTTAAACATTGACAAACAACCGCTTCCTAGATGGAGGGCGGGTGGTTTCCAAAACGTGGCTCTCGCCTCAGCGCCGCTCACATTCTTTCTGAACATTTGCAAGTGTTTCACGGATTGAGGGCGACCCTTTTTCAAAATATGGATCTCGCCGTAGCGCCGCGCACATTCGTTTTAAACATTTGCAAGAATTTCCATATTTAGGGCGGCTCCTTTTCAAAATGTGGTTCTCGTCTTAGCGCCGCGCACATTCGTTTTAGACATTAGCAAGAGTTTCACGGATTGAGGGCCGTTCCTTTTTCAAAGTGTAGCTCTCGCCTTAGCGCTGCGCACGTTCGTTGTTGTTAACCAGAACTTGCAATCATTTTACGGATTCCCATGATCAGCGTACCAGAGATGGTGTTTTTTGGAAGGATTCCGGATTATGAGGGTGCAGCAGTTACGTTGGTTCGCGGTGTTGAAGTCCCAGGAATGGGGTTCTGGCACGACTCAGCATCTTCAAGACGCAACTGTCAGGTTGATCCGTGGCGTTGGAATCCCGAGAACGATGTTTTGGCATTCGCCAGGGTCTGCAAGCGGGTGTCTTCCAACGAGGCATTTCCCTCAGTGGGGGCCTGTGAAGAGGGAGCTTGGAGGGAGGGTTTACTCCAACATCGTTGATGATGATTGGGTTTACACTGGTCCTCCTCCTCCTCCTCTTCCCCGTGCGTCCTTTCCTCCCTCCCCTTCCCCCCTATCTCGCTCCCATGCGAGGCCGCTGCTCCGGCGGAGCCCGCCAGCGCCGCCCTCGCCGCGGGCCCCGGCGCCACGGGGCATCGGCAGTCGGTGGCTCAAATACGGGCCCTAAGGACGAGGTGCCTCCTCCTCCTCCTCCTCCTCCTTCCTGCTCCTCCCATCCTCCCTCCTCCCTCCTCCTCCTCCCTCCTCCCTCCTCCTCCTCCCCCTCCTTCCTCCTTCCTCCTCCTTCCCCCTCCCTCCTCCCCTCCTCCCTCCCTCCTCCCTCCTCCCTCCTCCTTCCTCCTCCCTCTTCCCTCCTCCCTCCTCCCTCCTCCTCCTCCTCTCCTGCCTCCTGCCTCCTCCTCCTCCTCCTCCTCCTCCTCCTCCTTCTCTTCTCTTCCTCCTCCTCCTGTTTGACGAATTGTTTGACGATCAAGATAAAAGCGTTCTCCCCCACCCGACTACGACTTCGTGGTTTTGGACACGAGGTTTGCAGTCACGAGCTATGTTTCCTGGATTACCACCACGAGATGACTCTTGCACGTGGTACTCTATGTATGGAGAATGTCAGATGATTACTGGATGCGTTTTCTCCGATGGAGCGTGTCGTAAATACCACCTCTGGCCAGAAGCTTCCCGTGCGGGATGGGGTTTCTCTCAGATAGGGGACCATCGTATCTTGTTATGTGTGTACGGGGCCCTACCAGGCCCCAGTCAGACTTCTCCGAGGGCTGAGCTGTACGCGGTCGTGCAGATCTTGAGGGTTGCCATGCTGCCGCTCACGATCTATCTTGACCTACCAGATGGGCTCGCGCGTGGGCCTACATCGGGGTGCTTTCCGAGGCGCCCAAACTGTGATTTATGGTGTGAGATTTGGCGTAGGATCGAGGACTTAGGAGGTTTAGGGTCCGAGCTCCAAGTTTTGCACGTTTCAGGACATCAAAAAGGGATGTCTTTCGAGGCTCGTGGGACCGTTGGGCCGACTTTGCGGCCACCCAGGGCCGCGACCTTCACTCAGTCAGGGAATCCGATGCGCGCTTCATGGAACGATTTTTAAAAAGCTACCCGAAAAAACTTGGTCTGAATGGCTCGCGCTCACACTAAGTATATGAGTGAAGCTGTCGCCCCTGGTCAGGATCGTTTTGAGCAGCGGCGTAAGGCCAGGTTTGCTGCTGCTCATCGTGCGGGTGCTCCGCCTGACCCAGGTTTGCGACACAATTTCTTTGTTTGTGCGGGCGGCTGGCGTTGTGTCACCTGTAGTAAGCTGTGTCGGTCGGACAAGCAGCGCCAGATATTTGCGCTTCGCCGCTGTCCTGCGATGATAGCTCATTGCGCGAGGATCCTCAGGGACTCCACTGAGCACGCGACACAGGGAAATGTTTCGTGCGCCACTCAGGGAGATGCTGGCCTGAGGGTACCTGAGGCCGCTCCTGAGGGCACTACAGATCTGACTTCCGACGGGGGTGAGGGGGTTGTGAGGTCGTCGCCGTCGGGGTCGTCGGGGGGACAAGTGCTCCGTCTGGTCCGTGCTCGGTCGGCCTCGCCGCCTGCTCGGAGGGTTCAGGCAAGGCTGCAGCCGACCAGACTGTCCTCACATGGTTCGGCCCTTGCGGATTTCACCGCTGATATGGATACGAACGTCGAAGAGGCGTCTTTTCGTGATGATGTGTGGGAGGGGGGAGCTTTTAGTTTCGATGTAGATCGAGCTCAGGCCGCGAGGTCCCGAGCTCCCGTCGTTCCCAGAGGGCCCTCCACCTCCGCCTCCTCCTCCTCCGCTGCTGCTCCTCCTGCTGCGGCTGCGAGACCTGCTGCTGCTGGTGGTCGCTCTCGCTCTTCTCTCTCCCCTGTGAGAGCGGTCAGAGCCCAACTGACCGCTCCTCCCCTTCTTGATCGAGGGAGAGGGGTCAGCTTCTCAGCTGTCGTCGACGACAGCCACCTCGCAGAGGCCGTGCGCAACGTCGAGGCGCGCCCCGCCTCCCCCGCTCCCCTCCTCGTCCCTCCGAGGATCGCTGAGCGGCCGTTCAAGCAGAGGCGGGTCGGGCCTCGTGGTGGGCCTCGTTCCGAGTGTCATCCCTGCCACTGTTCTGCCCGCCTCGGGCGATGTCCCATCCTCAGCCGCTCGGGGTCACCAACTCTTCGTTGCTCCAGGCCAGGTTGTGATCTGTCTCTCGTGCGGGTGTATTTCGACGGGCAAGGCCTCGCCGCTTTTAGACCCCTGCCCCCCCCCCCCGCCAGCGCTCGCGGGAGGTCTCACATTCATCGGTTCGAGACGCGTCGGCATCCGTCTGGCTCTCACCGTCACGAGGCGATTCTGGCACCAGGAGGCTCCAGGTCACCGACCCCGAAGTCTTTTGGCTGCGTTTCGATTAACTCGTTAATCGTTTTCCCACCAGAGCTTCATATCTTTCAAAGCTCGACACTTGCGCTCGGGCCCCTCCCCGCCGTGATTCTTTGATGGGCATCGGGTGGGGTCTCAACGAGTGCTGGACCTGGGCTTTGGTTCGGGTCCGATGTCGAGTGGCCGTTCGGCGCGCCGCGCGACGGATCCCTCCCAGGCTGCGTATTCCTCCTCCTCCTCCTCCTCCTCCTCCTCCTCCTCTTCCCTCCTCCTCCTCCTCCTCCTCCTCCTCCTCCTCCTCCCTCATCCCTCCTCCCTCCTCCCTCCTCCCTCCTGCCTCCTGCCTCCTCCTCCTCCTCCTCTTCTTCCTCCTCCTCCTCCTCATCATCATCATCACCAGCATCGGCATCAGCCTCAGCATCATCACCATCACCATCCTCCTCCTCCTCCTTCTCCTCCTCCTCCTCATCATCATCATCATTATCATTATCATCATCATCCTTGTCATCAATATCATCATCCTCAGCAGCAGGATCATAATCATCTTCATCATCTTCATCTCGTCATCAGCATCATCATCATCAGCATCCCCCTCCTCCTCCCCCTCCCCCTCCTCCGACACCGCAGTCTAGACAGCAGGCAGTTCAGGAGCTGGTACCGGATCGGGGTATCCTGTGTTACTGCACCGAGCCGAGCAGGCGGTTATATTCCTGGGCTTTGTTATGGGAGGAGCGGACCCCTAGCGAGAATCCAGAAATCTGGTTATGAGACATGGGCGTGGAGAATTAATGGGACCAAGTAAAGAACCAGTGACTATCGCGAAAATAGGGCAGGCACCGTTCGAGCAGTGGCACGCAGCCAAACTGTCTCACCCTGCCTTGCTGTTGAAGTGCGGCATCTTTGCGAGGATCGTCGACGGCGGCACGATCATCTTTGCTGACGACGTCACGTTTGGAATCTAGCTACGATGGAAGAGCTACAGTATCGGTGTTCGGCCATGAAGTTGGGACGGACTAGGATGGGAAATTTCTGGGGCAGCAGGATATCTAACAAGCTTAAGCTGCTAGCATTTCAGGGGCATGACATTGGAGCATGTTTATCCGCTAACGAGCCCTACGCTTCCACCGCAAAGATGACTGATCAGATCGACCGCGTCA